CTCTTTCCACTTACCTTTCGTCATCAGTACTAACAGACACGACGGACACAAGTCCTCAGCCTTCTGAAGACATGCTGTCCAGCCAGTCAGAAATCAGATCCTCTAAGTATCACCAGGACCGCGAATTACCCAGCATTCCACCCACCGATACCCTCAAAGCAGCCATCGATGCTCAAGTTCCCTCAGGAGAAGGCACGTATGAGGTGGTGAAGGACAGCGCCTCCCGTGATGTCAGTGTTGAGGACTGTCTGTACGAGACGGTGAAAGAACTCAAGGACATTGGCCTCCCTAACGGTACACTAAGCCCAGAGGAACCACCTGCACCGCTTCTTAACGGCCACCCAAGCCCCGCTACACAAGACCACACCATGCTGCCCAATGGTGTGGAGTATGCCTCTGTCAACCTCAGCAAGAAGAGCCGCTACAGCACTGACATGGAGGCCAGGCATTCAGCCGCCATTGTGAATTTTGAAGAGCCTGATGATGAAAATCCACCTCCTGTTCCAGACAAAGTACTGGATGAGAATGACAACCAGCAGATTCCAAATGGACAGGTGGGGCTACCAAACTCTCTTCTTATAAAAGTACTATTGTTGTCCTGTAGAGTAAACTGTAGAGTACAGTTCCCTGCATGAATCTACATTATCACAAGGCATAACATACCTGCATCTGTTTTGCCTAGCAGAAGCTGTACAGGTACTGGATTTTGTTGATAGTCAGTACTACTGATACTTTAGAAGGAATGTTATCATTTCATTTAAGTATCATCTATGCAAAGTACCAGTAAGTTGGTATCCCTATACCTTAGGGGTAGTGTAGGAGTGTCCGATCCTCCTCCTGAAGGGCACCTTACTGCTGGGTTTAGCTCCAGCACACCTCCTTGGAAGTTTTTTTGTCGCTGTGCTCAAAACTGTGCATTGTAAGAATAGGTACTACATTTGGATAAATTATTTTGTGACGTCCGGACGTACTACATCCACCACTGTCATGCGACTACAACTTCAGTCATTTCACTTCTCCAACTTTTATGAATCCTCTCTCATGTCTCTCTCATGGATACCACTTTTTGCTTACTACAGTATATGGTAGGGAATAGGGGTGTCACAATACATTAATATTGACAATTTACTTTTTTTCCCCCCAAAATTTCTAAAATCGTGACAACCCCGTAGGGAAATTTTTCATATTTGTATGCGACAAGTAATCTCAAACATCTTGATCGACTGGCTGGAGTAGCATGCAAGTCTCATGGTAAATGAATATGGTAATCACCCAGTACCATTTTAGAGTTTAATACCATTTGATACCATTACCCTGGTACCACCACAGTACTGTATTTGTAAGGTTCATTAAGGGGTTAAAATAGTTAATACAACATCAGTTGCTCTCCTGCAGTAATCATTTCCTTTATCAGGAGCTGCTCCATCTCACACAGTGATGTAACCCTTTGACACGTATAATTGAGAACAAAGAAGAATAATCATCTCAGAAACAAACCAAAAAGAACTGCACCAACATTCTCCAGTGCCAGCTAAACTTAGAGACTGCAAGAGAACAACATTGTGTTTCCAGTTTAATTACAATCTTTTAGGATATGTGCTCTGGTTGACGGTGATACATATGTGTGCCTGTAGCATACAAATGAATCTATCTGTAGAGGAGAGCAGACTGGCTGCTGTTGCGCCCGCACTCAATGTCTGCACACGGTGTGAGCATCCACTACAGCTACACATTACTGTCACCAGTCGAGGACGCTCTGCACCTCCTTTGTTCATCACTGCCTCTTGCACTCTCGCTCTGTCAATCTCTCTCTCTTTTGCTCTAATGTTCGCTCTCTCTCCTTTTGTTGTTCTCATTTAGTGTTTTTTTGCCCTGTATTTCTGCTTCCTTTGTCCTTGTACTCAAGATCAATTATATGTCTTTTCCACCAAAAACGGTGCTAGATCTCATGCTCGGCCAGAGATCTACTCAAAACTGACCCATGCTTCTGCTGACCTGAGAGGTGCATTATGACACAATGTATTATTTATGTAACTATATAACTTGCCCACAGATAAGCATAACACATCACAGTCTGTTTAAAAGGTTTGAGAACACACTTTAACATTCAAAATGCATCGTTAGAATTTATAATGAATTACAATCAAGCAATCAGAATCCACATTTGATATTTGTAAACAAAATAATTTTAGCCAGATTGAGAAGTAGTGTCTGATACGACACAACATACAGTACATAGGAATGGGATGTTCACCAACTGAACAAATTTGAATGCTAACAGTAAGCAATTAAGTTTTGGTGCGCCTCAGATTTACCAAAAGTGAGTTTCCAAACATTGCCATCCATTGGGCCTCTGATGTCAATAGTTTCTGATTCAAAACCAGCAGATTTTAGGGGCCAGTGCCGAGCCAATTTTGCCCAACCTTTCTGCAGTGGAAATGTGTTTAATGGTTCCAGACTGGCCATTGGATTTGGCAACAGCACTGGCACTCTTGCAGTGGTACTAAGTCAGAATCACTTACTAGCACCCTTTGGGGTAAAGTGTCTCCTGCTACACTGTGGGTTTAAACTTGACACCTATCAATCCAAATCCCATTCGCTGTGTGGCCTGATGTAGATGTGTAATGGGGCAGCAGTGATTCATCTTATCGGTCACATGTTTGTGTGTAACATATGCACATGGGGATCAGTGCATTCCAGCTGTCCACTGTCTGACAGCTCACCCTCATGATGAATGAGACGGCAGAGCATGTTTACAGGTACATCAGTCTGTGTTTAAGAAAGAGAATCATTCAGTTAAAGTTGGGACAGCCAAACTGACAAGCGCATGCTGTAACGCATGCACACACACATTGCCTCATTCACGGGGTGGACTGCACTGTATGTTTGAATGAATGAATGAATGAATGAGGCATTCATATAGCGCTTTTATTGTGTATTGCTGTACACCCAAAGCGCTTTACAATCATATGAGGGGGTCTCTCCTCAACCGCCAACAGTGTGCAGCATTGGTTATTTGAGCGGCAGAGTGCCATGTGTGTCATTATGCATTGGTGCCACTGTCACTATGCTAGCGTGATGGACTGAGGGCAGCTGTCTTAGATAAACTGTGATTTCAGCACATCAACACTCAGAAGTCTCCTGCTGAAGGGAAGGACTTTTATTGTTAGCACTGATGCCTTGTCAAAAGATGCGTGGGCACATGCTGACAACTGCGTAAAAGCAAATACTAATCGACACCACTGAGAGCAGCACTACAGGCCATTGCCTCACGCCCAGCCGTACTGTCAGCATCCTGTCACAGTCAGGGTATGATCTAATGTGAACTTCACAGGGTATTCAGCCATTGGGGTATTCAAGGGAATGTATGTGTTCAGTGTGAAGGGCACTGCAAACTGATATTATTAGGGAAATCACACAACAGTCATTGCATTCCACCTCAGTACTATGCAAAATTTGGCTAAAATAAATGACATTTTTATTTAGCTTGGTCCACTTCAGGTCTCTACGCAGGTGTTTGTGGGTGTAGTCAAAGTCCCTTCAAGGAGAGTCGGTTCATTCTGCGGCCATATTTGCAACACCTCCAGGCAGCTATTTCGGTCATGCAAGACCAACTTCTATCTACTTGAATGGAGAAATAGCAAAAACTGCTTGCTGAACTCACATTTAAATAATGTATTTCAATTCAGCAATAAGAACTGACATGAATTGTCCAATAAATGTTGTTTCTTATGCTCAAATAGTATAAAAAAGTGCATGTTTCAGGTTGGTCTAGCAAATGTGCATGTGCAGTCCTATGCAGACTGTTTTCATGGGAACTGGAGCTTCTAACAACAACTGCTGTGATGCAATGACTTTACCAACCAGTGACTGGCTTTTTTATTTACAAGGTGGGACTTATTCCACCATATTGCACATTGCACTTTTTTCAAATTCATAGTAATATGCGTGAATTGTCTTGGTGTGTGTGTGTGTGTGTATGTGTGTAGTCTGTGTGATGACGTTGCAGTGCGTTTTAAATGCTTCCGATAATTATTAATTTCTTATATGGGCAAATCAAGGGAAGAGACACTTTAATTGATATAGAGGGCTGGATAGAGTGAATTAGCAGATAAGCCCTATTGTAAGAGACATTTGTTAGTTGTGATGAGGTCAGGGGTGTCTTTGCGGAGCCACACGGATGGGCTATTAAATTAATTGCTTTGCTAATTAAACCAATATCAAAGCACATCTGGCGAGTCCCTGATGCACATTCTGGGCAATCATATCAAAGCAAAGCATACCTCAAGTTCACGGGGTGAGATGGCTTCATCAAAACAGGCTTGAAATTTTGGCTCTAAAACATCAGCATTAATCTTGAATGGGTTATAGCAAATTTCCCGCTTGACTGTAATCTCTCTGTCTGTGAGGTGACTGCGACAGGGATTGATATTCTTCTCCAACAGCCAAGGTGTCTGTTATTGATCTTCTGTAGGATTTACTTTGTTAATTAATGACTCTGTTATTGATTCTCTTTGTAAATATACAACCGCTCTTGCTAGGGGAGGAACTGTACATTTGATTTCAATCAGTAACTCTTAAGTAATGAATGAGTGGCTTCGTTTTTTCATCAATCAGTCCTTGACACTTAGCATGTGTCAGCTGAAGTGAGCCATTTCCTATGCTGCTGTATGTTTAACCTGATTAAATATGAAACGTTTTTAACTAATGGTCTTGTTTCAATCATTGTCCTTCAGTTACACTCCCCGCTGACGACTCCAATGCCTCAGGACAATGTGTCTCCGGACAGTGAGGTAGGCTCAGCATCAGCATCTTGTAAAGACCAACTTGAAGTCTTTGCAGTTTTTACCAATAATAATATTTGCAAATTAATATTGCACTGAACCAAGTCTGTGGAGTAAAGATGTCTACTTCTCTGTAATTCCAGTTATCAGACATGTACTCCAAGGTAGCAAAGAATACTATAAAGGAACCTGAGAATGACTACAGCAGCATCGGGGAGATGAAGGGAATGGTGGCGGAGTCGACTTCTAGTGATCTTTACGCCACGGTTGGGGATGAATACCCAATGGCTCTTGGCTCCCAGCCTCCAGAGGGGCTTACAGAGAATGCAGACCCTGGGTATGAGACCATCAAGATCTCCAAAGCATCTGAAGAGGTTCATCAGGGCAATGGGATAGTGGAACCTGACTATGAGAGTGTGGGGGAACTGGGTCTCAACGGGGAGATCTCCCGTCTCTGACCACTCAAATAAGGGACTGTGGACACTGAGAAATCACTTCTCTGAGGTTTAGAAGTGGAAGTTGGAGTGGTATCGCGAGTATAATGCACTTAACCTTTCCTGATTGAATGTTTTTGAGCATAGCATTTATGCACCGCATTGTTTTTGAATATTATAAATGAAAGGGTTCGTTCAGACCTGTGACCCAGCACAGGAAATTAAACACTCTACACAGCAAAATCCCCAGAGTTAAATCAACTCTGCTCAGAGTACATATTGTCCCAATCTACAGAGTGTTAAAGTAACACTGAAGCAGAGTTACCACTGTTGAGGATTATGTGATACGTTTTCATGTCTAAAAGCCTGAGCAGTAGTTGTTCATCTTCAACATTGTTAACAGCGGGTTTTCTTTACCAATGCTCACTCATCAATTAATTGCTTAATTATCCCATTAACTTTAACTCCGCTTCAGTGTTACTTTATTAACACTCTGTAGATTGGGACAATATGTACTCTGAGCAAAGTTGATTTAACTCTGGGGATTTTGCTGTGTATAGTCACTCAGAAGAGGGCCTATTTTGTCCCCACACATTATGAAATAGCTTGCAGTAGGGATTTATCTAATACAAAGGCGGCATCTCCATTTGTTGAGCGGGAGTTTTCTGAGCAACTACTCTGTGCTAGCATTTGTTATTTTTAATGTTTTGCTGGGCTGTCGATGTGGGCAATGATAGCAGTTGATCACACCTGCTCTAATCGCTTTCCATGGCTTGTTCTCATTCTATTGAAATCACAAAACAAAATGCTAACAAAAGTGTCCCACTACTGATATCCACTAATGTACAGCTGTAATTATGGTTTATTAAAATAAAGAGTTACATTAGGGGGATTAGAACCCAAACCCCTCATACAAAGGAATACTACTAGACCAAAGATTAAAAATTAACATATGTATGAATATTAAGCCAGCATAACTGCTGCATTGTGAGAATGTAACAACACAAATGTGACTGAAATGAGTTAACATGTTAAGACATTTATAATGCTAATGTTATTTCAGATTTGATATAAAATATCAGTACATCACAGACTACTTATCAGAATAGTAAATGATCATGTTTAATTATCTTTGCATATCCTAATTAATATACATGAGCTAAGCCTTCACCATTTTGTGACATAACAAGCAGCACGTCTGTGCAACCCCCTTCTCACATGTCTCCACCACTTTTCAAAACAAAGTGACACCAATGGCTGTGCTCTTACGAGAAATATTTTATTCATAATGTGTATTAGTAGTTTCCACGCTTTTGCACGCTGCAACTGCTGTGAGCTCCACTCTGCCTGCCTGTTTTCACATGATACTAGTTGAGCAACTGACAGAGTTGTGTCCTTATATAACCCCGAGAAGAGAACCAATCAGATCCTGTCAACAGCAGACCTCTCAGCTCAGTCCATTAAGGAACTACACTCATTTTAATCATTCAGAACTGCTGGAGCATTTACTTTCACAAGTAGTAAGCAAGTGATGTTCACATAACGCACATCAAAATATAAATGAGGAACAGTTAAATGTTGCCATCATTCTGAGCCATTTAACTTGTTTATATTCAATATGTCAAATCACAGGCTCTGGTGAGGAAGTGACCTTTTAGGTACGTAAAGTTAAGCACACTCATTTATGAGTGTACTAAAAGGGTATTAATGCCAATTTGGCCATTATCTATTGCTGGTGTGAGTTCACATTTTCAATTGTTCACTTATTGCCATTTCTGATGTAATTGCGCTATGTTTTATCAATATGTATGTGTGATTTTTTTTAATTGACGCAGCTGTATTGATTGAGTATCAGATACAGTATATATTTCAGATATTGTTTTGTTTTTACATGTAATAAGTACGCAACATTTCAAAAGGCTGAAAAGCACAGGGGAAAAAGAGACCTCTTTTCAAGGTACTGCCACACTGCAGCTTTGCCTGGCAGCTTAGTAAATGTACTTTATTATCAGGTATGCATTTAGCTGCTTTTACATTCATGTAGCAGTATAATCCAAAAAGCATAGTGCATCCAGACGCTGCATGGGACAACTTCATGCCAAGAGACACTTGTAAATATTCAAAAGACTATTTTGATCTGTTAAATTATGTCAATGTGTAATTATAATTCTGTAATAATTGGCAGCAGCTCTCAAATGACAGCACGTGGAACTTTTATAGTTTGTTTGTATTGAGGAGCTAATGAAACTTTAAGAGTCAGTGGAATGCATGCTGTTTTCTAGATGCATTTTTAATTAAAGAAAGTTTAAAGGAGGTTTATTAACATTTAAAAGGCTAATAACAGGAATATGAATTGCTTTGTAGTTCTTTAGCACTATTTAAAATGTGAGGTTTAATTAAGGACTGTGGATGGAGTCCAGATGTTGTCCATGTTTGTTTGTAATGGTATGTTGTGTTGGTACAGGTTTCATATTGAGAAGATCCTTGTTTTATTTAATATCATGGTGAAACATTGAACATTTGGTTTCTTCCTCTAACCAAATTCGGTGTATTAAGTTGTAAACAAGAATGAATTTTGCATTTGTTTATTTCATCATAATCTTTGTATTGTGGTATTTGCTTATTAAACAATATAGTCATGCTGGACTAATAATATAATGCGTGTGCATGTTTATTCAAATCAACTGATGCTAATGTGCGTGTAGCTGTGTGTGTATATATATATATATATATATATATACATTAGTATAATTTTTGCTTAATAGTGCTATATTTACATGGCAATCTTAGTAAGACAAGAAAGGACATTTATATTGGCTTAGTGCACAAAAACACAATATAATCTCTTGATATTTAATCTGTCAATACATTCTACTAAACTAAATTCTCAAGTGTAGAAAAACAACCTTCAATAAGGCGGTTTTATTATCATGTCAGTACACTGGTATTAGGGGACTAACATATTTCACTGTACAGCCAGCCAGCTATTGATTGGACCTGTGGTCAAAGCAACATGCATTTTCAATGCAAGTGCTAAGGGAGCGGTAGCAAACGAGGGCATTGAATTGATTTTTTATTTTCACTTCATAAAGATAAATTGTTTCTTAAAAGATTAAATCTTTTCAGTCATGCCTTAAGGGGTTATTCCTATAGACAGGTTGTTATAAGCAAATCAGGCCCACAAGCACAGCGTAATTATGTTATACTTTGAGAGGCTATGCGAGTGGTGCGGTTCTTTGATCAATGCTACAATCGATTCAGAACTCACACTGACAAGCATATACAACATGTACATGTTTGTGTTTAAGATTTAAGATTTAACCACACAAAGGTAAAAATGTTCAATTAAGGCTTATAAAGTATAATGCACACAAGCAGGTGGATTACTTCTAAAATATAATCAATGCAAATTACACTTAACACTGTCAGTAAGTTACCTCTAATGCTATAATTAATATTTTGACAAAAAACATATTTCTTAAACTACACTTCTATCAACATAAAGAGACTTAATTTCTAACTGCATGTTTTAAATGAAAAACTAAAAATCTACCCATTACTGCTAATTTAATTTTAGCATGTGCTGATAAAATATATAGTTGAATGCTATCTAAGTCACTGAATAAATGTAAAATACATCAAACTGAAATATAAACATTAGTTAAATTAAATTTGAGTTAAAGATTAGTTCATTAGAGCCTTCTGAACTGCAAACATTCCATTTTTTTTTAAATGATTGAAACGTGATTGTTTCCATGTGACTGCTTGAAAGTTATTTCAGTATGTAGTCAAATAAGGAAAGAGACACATCTCTCTTCATTATAGTACCTGTTTGGGATAGTTACTTTCAGTGTATGTGCAAGTACCTCAATTCAAGTTTTTGATTAGTTTGCGACCGGACAGTAGTCTACGTTACATTGATATTATTCGTCATAATCAATTTTAAGGGAGTGACATGATGTTAGTCTGAAAGTCATTTTCTCTGCCCAAACAGACCTAAACAGTACCTCAAAATATTAGTCCAAATTCATGTTATTTAGAAGGTGAAAAGCACCTGAATGGTCACCTGAATGACAAGATTCTCAAATGCACATCCAATGGACATCCCATGACATGAGGCCATGGGAAAGGAGTTGTGAATGGCAGTGAAGCGATTACAACATGAGGAATGTAGTAGGCCTATGTCTGGATTACATTCACATTCACACTATATAGAATATACTTTTTTTAAAGGTTGCTATTACATTTGGAATTTAAAATCATTTAAGCATGCATTAAAGAGAGAGGTTCAGCCAGAAATAATGATCATGTGAATATAGCGAGTGAGGCTGTTATTCTGCCATCTCCTGTTGTGTTCTATGGAAGAAAGAAACACAGGTTTGGAACAACATGAGAATGACTAAGGCCCGTTCACACCAAGAACGATAACTATATTAGTATCCACACCAGCGGATGATATCGTCTGTTTATTCCAAGCGCACGCTCATCTGCCGCTTTAAACTCTCGAGCTCGTTATCGCAGGATTGATTCTGATTGGCTGTCAATATTTTTATCGTTCATCAGCTGGAAAAAAATCGTTCTGAAAGGGTCCTTACACGATCAAGGTCCAGAAATGTAGCAAGGACATCACGTGGATACACTGTTTAGGTCGTTTACGCTTTGAGTTAAAGATAAACAGCATGCGCAATTTACGTTCAGTGGATATTCTCCAAAATGGCGCTAGGGTGATGCGGAGGAGACGAATTGTTGAATAAAATTGTTTTTTTTTTCTTCTTTCTTTTGCGTTTAAAAAGTATTCTCGTAGCTTCATAAAATTATGATTGAACCCCTGATGTCACATGAATTATTTTACTGATGCCCTTGCTACATTTCTGGACCTTGATCGTGTAAGGACCCTTGCTGGGAGGGTCAGAGAGCTCTCAGATTCCATCAAAAATATCTTAATTTGTGTTCCGAAGATGAACGGAGGTCTTACGGGTTTAGAACGACATGAGGGTGAGTAACTAATGACAGAATTTTCATTTTTGGGTAACTATCCCTTTAACTGAAGATAAGATCCTAATTTTTGGGTGAACTACCCCTTTAAGACGTCAAAAATAGAAATATGTCAACAGCGTTTCCTTCTTCAACATAAATCATGTTTAAATATTTGCATTATGGTTAGAGTCAGACCAGTTTATGTTTTGGTATGTGACGACGACTACGAGTGATTTTCCAAAAACAGTTATTCTACTACTGACAGGTCCCACTCCCACCACAGAGGACCCTCGGGAATACCTGCCGCCTGTCAATCATTCGCGCCGGGTCACACACAGACGCCTGACCCTGCTTTGCTGGGATATTGTCATCACTGTTATTAATGTTATGAACATTGACCGGCCTACCTAAATAATAACTACTCAAAGACTCTCTTTTCTTCATCCTTGCGTCATTGTTTTAATCGCAAGCAGCGCCCGTTACTTGTGTTTGGAGGGAAACTGCAGCAGAGCGCTAGCGTTAGCGAGTGGAGGCGTGTGTGCCGCCAGCCAATGAGAGCGCACACTGGCTGCGCGAGCGCACATGGTCACAGGCGACATTCCGCCGGTACAGCCAGTGGCTCCTGAAAACCCGGATGGATTTTTCGGAATGGAGTCTTTCTCACACGAAACCGGATTTACGGTGATAAAGGGTGAAAACTGGCTAATAAAACAGCACCCTCGACACTGGGGACGCCAGTTTATATTATTATATTAATCAAATTTCTGGAGGTGCGCTCTTCGGTGATTTATCACATAAATGCCCGTGGTGTGTATTGTGAAAAATACATCGTGTTTATCGACCCAAAACTGCTGCTCCGCTCCGTGTTTTACCACAACCCGTCAGCTATAAGGGAACGGCAAGCAAAACAAACAGGTCGACAGAAGAAAGATATCGGTTGCCGGTCGGTCCTTCGGTCGGACGGACGGAGAGCTTATCAAGCGTAGCTCATTTGAATGTTGTAACGGTTCGCTGGTCTCGTGTCCCGAACATGCGCGCTGACGCCGGTGAAATAACGTTATGTGGATGCGGTCCAGATCTGTGGTAATGTTGTCGTATTATTCGCATGGTCGGCCCATTGTGACGGTAACTCCGTTCGGGTTTTGTCAGCGTGACATTTCTTGTTTTTGAAGCGACATTGCAGTGCAAAGATCGAAGTAACTGTATTCGCGCATTTCATTGATATATCAACTATGCATACGCGGCGGCTGGTGAAGCGCTCGGTCATTGGGAGCCGCGTGTACGCGCCGGGTTTAACGGGAGACGCGGCTCCGCTCACGGGAGTGATCCAGGCTGTCAAACAAGACAACAGAGATGCTTCGACCGGCCATCGGCGCAACGTGTACACGGTGCTCATGCAAGACGGGAGCTTGAAAGAATACACCGAGGAAGAGATTGCACAGATGACTGCGAAAGCACCGCTGAAGTCGAGCTTGAAGGTTTGTATGTGTGGTCAGCTGGGCTTCTTGTTGTTGTTGTTGTGTTGCTTGTCGCACACAGAGAGATGGTTTGTGTGATGGTTCAAATAGTTCTCATCTGAATGTGTGAGAGTATATTGCAGTAATGATGCAGATGCTACTAGGTAGTCGTTGGCTCCACAATGAAACCTTTTGGGGCCACATTACTTCATAGTTGCAAAATTGTCGAATCGCTCGATGCAGATGGTCGTTCAGAAGCGCCGGTGTCTGTGCTCACAATCTAGTGCATTAAACTCTGACACTTTTGGTCTCTCCATTTGTTAGATGGAAACAGTTGCAAAAGACTGTGAACTACATATGAATTGGAAATGTAATTTGATTGCATATCGTCTTTACTTTTTAACCTTTTAAGTTTAGACCATTTGACGTTCACTGTACTGTGATGAAGGGTCTATCTATAAAAAATGGTGCTTTGGGCACAAAAACTGGCGGAAATTAGTTCAACTGGTATTTTTCTAGCTGTATTTAAGAGTTTGTTTTTGGAATGATGTCATTCCTGACTGTATTTGTGCAATATAAATATCATGCTATTTTGTACGAATATTTGGAAAACAATTCAAATGTCACTCATTTTACAGCAGGGGCGATTCTAGGATTTTCATTTTAGGGGGGCTCAACTTATTGCAGTATTCCACTGCATAGATAGGTATAACATTTGGGTACTCAATAAGCCAAATTCAAATCTTCATGATCTCACACACACAACCTGTTTACTGTACTGGGGCTGAGTAGTCAGTAGTACTAATACTGGCTGAATAGTAGGCTATAGCCCCCCTACAACTGGCCTAGCAACGCCCATGTCTTACAGTCTTACCAAAGTTCTCCTTTCAGCGCGAATCAGATACTTGTGGATGTCATCATTATATATATATATTAGAAAAAGTATATGTATTTATTTCTTTTGGAATGTATTAATTTAATACAACAAATATTAACGATAAATAACTAGTGTTCGAGGGAGTCAACTCAGTGACGGCTCTGAATGATTCACTATATATTCAAATCGCTAAGAGAGCTCAACTCTTCTGCTTCGTGAATCTTTTCACTAAAAAGAACCGGTTCATACGAGTCATTTGTTGGAGAATCGGATATCTCGCGCTGTGTTCAATACATTCAGCGAACACAACGCAACAGAAAGATGCGAAGTAGCGGTGCTGGAAACACTTGACTAAATGGATGTAATTAAACTATCGCCCGATCACGTGATGAAATCTGACTAAACCGCATATGGACAAACACAGAGTTTCCCCGACTGACTAGATTTTAAATTATTGTCATAAATGAGACTTGTTTTGTTGCATTTGTGGCCGTTGTAGTCGAGGTCTGTAATGTAGGGCTGTGTACGCCGCTGCGTTTAGTGGGTGGATAACAGTGGCAAACAAACACGCTCTGCAGCATTCAGGCGCCAGCAGAAGCATCTGTGCAACAGCCTCCACCTCTCTGCTGCAACCGGCTCTTTCTTAGTGCCTTTTTATTTTATTTTTTTTACTGTGTTTTCGACATTCATGGCTAGTGCAGTGAATATATATATATATTTTTGTGAATATGTCTTGATATTTAATTAATGCTCAGAACAAGCTCCTTTTATTCACTGAACTCCGCGTGATTGCACACTAGGATGAGTGAGTTGCTTGCACGTAATTGCAAAATACAAAGGTTTTTTTTTAATTTTTTATAATGACCTAATTGCAGTCAAATTATACAGCCTGAGGTGCCATATCAAAACAAAGAGGGTCAAAATGACAAGAACGGCACCAGCTCTACATTCTTTAACAACCAGAGCTGCAAGACTTGCATGGAAATTATTAAAATAAATTAGAATAAATAACCAAATAAGTATAATACCTGAAATTTGCATGCTATATTTGCATACACATTTTATTTGCTTGCTGCTGTACATTTGATGTTTGTATGTGCTTGTTTTTGCGAGTATGGCAACTCCCAATCAGACATCCATTTAATTTTTAATCAGTGCCATGCACGTTTTACTCAAGCAACTATTATATACATCACATGCTACCTATTCTCTGGTGACATATGATGGGGAAAAAGTTAAGATGTAAGCAATGCAAGCAAGAAGGGATGTGAAACTAAAGTGGGGGCTAATGGTCCCGGAGCAGCTGCTCCATAACGGCAGCAAAACTCTACAGAGGGTCATGCTCATAGAATCTGAGGCTTTGGCAAGGCGCCTGAATTCCCAAACAAGTGCCATTCGGCTTGAGGGAATGCCACTTGTTGACTTGCATAGTAAGGAGGAGGGGCTTCGTGTTAAATGGTTACAGTGTGGCATTTTCAGACAAAGGCGGACTGGATTTTTTTCATTCCCCTGTTGTTTCCACTGCTTAATATCAAAATGTAATTAACACACAGGCTGCCTAACAGTCTTAACTATTTATGCACCAAGGCTTTGTTGCTGATTTACAGTTTATTCACATGAAATGTTGAGGATTTGGTCATGATGAATGCAAGCTGAGATGTTTTTATGAAGAGCGTCATAATTACTTTTATAGTAGATATCTCAAACCTTAAAGTGCAGCATCTCACGTGTGAACATGCATTGTGTGTTTGTTTTTCTTGTGAATATTCAAATATAAATTAATAATTTGTAGATAATTAATTTCAAGTGCTCATCATTGTGCATCCTGCTCTCAAATCTAATTAATTCTGTTATTAGATCAGTCGAGACTCTTCAGCAAAAACAAGATCTCATTTGAATAGTTTGACTGGCACATGAATTGTGACCCATACACAAAGCAAGGGTGTGTGTTTGTGTCTTGAGAGAGAAAGACTTAATAGTGTGTGAAATTTAAATTTGAACTTGTCAACTGTGCAGTTTTGATTTGACGCTTGAAAGTCTTGCTCAACATGATACCGCTTTAACAAATCTGTTCATCTCATGAAAACACGCCAAAGCCTGGCATTCATCTTGTACATGGAATAGTATTATTCCTGCCCTATGGGAGGTTTAAAGAAAGATTTCACCCCAAAAAAAAAACCTGTCATCACCAGTATTAAAATTGTGGCTGATTCAGATAAGATGATAATTATTTTAATGCTATGGCTGATAACTGATAAATGGCAGATATTACAATTCTACAGTATTTTGGCTAAAATAAATAAAAAAACAAAACACAAACTAAAATCATACAATTTAAATGCTACAAGTGAATTTAGACATCAGTGGTTATTTGTTTTGAGATTTGTTAAAGATTACAATTTAACAGTGTTATTAAATTATTAGCATTTTTAAATGTAAAAGTGAGTGAAGTGACGTGTGTGTGTGACCCATACTTGGAATTAGTGCTCTGCATTTAACCCATCCAAGTGCACAAATACAGAAGTGAACACACACACACTGTGAACATGCACCCGGAGCAGTGGGCAGCCATATTACTGCGGCGCCCGGGAAGCAGTTGGGGGTTCGGTGCCTTGCTCAAGGGTCTCACCTCAGTCTCACCTGAGACTCAAACCCGCAACCCTCGGGTTACAAGTACGACTCTCTAGCCACGACTGCATACGTGAGTAGTACATAACAGCAAAATGTAAAAATAAGGAAAATTATATTCACAATTACATATCCAATTTTATAATCAATAATATAAATATCTAGTAAATATATAATATAAAATCTCCAATATTGGCTGATACCCAAAGCTTATTGTTTGGCAGCAGAAGATTTGGAATATCATGCATATAGACCATGTTTTTGATACATTTTATGATGCTTTTAATTTTTTATTTTTTTTTAAGTTTGAAAGCTTAATCCTAATTGATTCTTATAGCTTGGAAAAGAGCAGCCAGCACATTCTCCAAAATTTCAGCTTTTGTGTTCCACAGAAGAAAGAAAGTCATATGGGTTTGGAACAACATGACCATGAGTAAATAATGACAGTTGGCACATAAATGAAGAAGAGAATGTATTAAAATACCACACTTCACTACTAGTGAGGTAATCCTCAGTTTTGTATGTTGTTTTATTTACCGTTTTTAGCCCTTATCGGCAGAGTTACTTGGACCAGTATTGAGGCAGGTAATCCATCATTTTATTTTTAACTCCATTATTAGTGCGTAAACTCACAGCTGCTCAAAGCCCAGCATGATGGGTGTTTACTCTCTCTTCAGTCAAAATAATTGCGTTACGGTAAGACAATGATCTGGATTGCACACCGCTCATTGTTAGATCATGCTCTTCGCTGGTACATGTGGTGATATGCGTCGTCTTGGCCCCTGTTTGCCCTCTCTGTAGCGTGAGGTTTAGTGTACGCAGCTTTAGTCACAGTGCAATAGAAAACTTTACGGCTGCTGTGCAGATGAGACATGCAAGAGGAAAAGCTGCTCGTCTTTCCATTAGTGTGGTCACGGATGGTGGCTTGTTTTGCTAAGTAGGAAATGAAATGAAATGAAAAGAACATTTATTCTTCTTTTGTCAGCAGCGCCGTGATCTTATAAACAGACGAGCCTGCAGATGAGCGAATACGATTTCTCCATCCAAAGCATTGTTCAGGTGTTTGTATTGACTGATGCAATATTGTATTACCAACAGCTTAAATACAGCCTAATGCTCCGTGATTGCAAGCAAACAAGCCTCAAAATAGGGGTCTATACCATTAACAGCCCACGTAGGTGTAAGTAGGGCTTCATTGACAGGAGCCACGTGGAAAGACTATTAACACAGTTAAGACTGAAGAAACTCAAATGTGTTTCCCTCTGCAGAGCTCCTGTAACAGTGGCCAGCGGGACGGGCCCATGCAGGGCCAGAATGGGGGCATGCAGAGAGGAGAGGTGCCCTCCCTCAGTCCAGAGAGCACAGAGGAGCCACGGGTGCTGGAGCACAAGCGAACAGGCCGATCGCTGGAGCCAGAGAAGGATCACACCCGCTCCGTTTCTCTGCTGGAACAAAAACGCAAGGTGGTCTCTTCCAGCATCGACGTACCACAAGCCAGGTAAGACTGCGGGATGAGCGCCCCCCACAGGCACAGATTAGAACTAAAGGAATGATGTATGTTTTTGTTTACTTCATTTTTGTTTTCATGTTGTATGCTCTGAATAAGAAGAGCTGGACTGTAGTACTGGTGAGATGTTGGTTTTCACATTATTTATCAGTTTTTCTCTATAAAGTTACATCAGTCCCCATATAAACTAACATTAGAAGGATCTAAACAAGTTATACATGTTTTGTTTTTTTTCATAAATAGATTGATTTGGTCTTTTTCAGCAAAAGTGACATTTGGACAAAAATATTATGTTTTAGTCTCATTTTCATAAGTTACTGAAATTGTTAGGGTTTGTGGAAGTGATATGGTGAGGTGAGGACTCAATTGCAGGAAGTTTGGACTCTTTAAGGCCCAATCCCAATTCTATTTTATACCCCTTCCCCTACCCCTACCCCTCCGCCTACCCCTTCCCCTTGTCCCTTGAAACAGAGTGTCAAGGGGTAGGGGTGAAAATATTCCCCTAAGAATTGGGACACCACTACTATGCTGTCACACGTCATCATACGTCGTCTAGCTCCTACAATACACACACCTATGCTGGTGTGCATTAGAGCAGTGTTTCTCAACCCTGGTCCTGAATGCCCCCCAACACTGCACATTTTGTATGTCTCCCTTATCTGACACCCATTTCAGGTCCTGGAGTTTCTTTTAATGAACTAATGAGTCGAATCAGGTGTGTTTGATTAGGAAGACACCCAAAATGTGCAGTGCTGGGGGGCGCCCAGGACCAGGGTTGAGAAACACTGCATTAGAGCCTTTAATTAGCATTCTATATTAATGCGCTGCTTACTGACACACACACACATATCAGAAATCGCGCAGCTCAGACATCCAGGAGCAAAGATACTTGTCAACGCTACCCCACGACTTTTATTAATAACAGTTTAAATACTGAATCGCTACATTATATTTTCCAGCAACAAGAGGACAAAATCGCTGTTTTTGAAGTAAACTCACTCTAAAAAAGAGAAACGCACAGACACGTATACACGCAACTTTCATCTCTCTCTGTCTCTCTCTCTCGCTCTCCAATTGGCAATATTTGAGAAAAGGGTTTAGCGATTTATAATTATTGGGGGGACTAGCCCCCCTCAATGTCTACAGTGGTTATCGCCCTGATCAGACATGAAAATGTTTTGGCACTATCGTGCAGTCTATAATGATATGACGTTAGTTAGCAAATATTAGCGATT